ATTGTACCATGACGATTGGCTTGAATTTATATGGGGCCTACCCCGAAACTTAAGTCAATATTAGCTGTGTTCCCAAACCTGCAATATAGTACTATATTGTACTAGTTTTGCAATTTTTGCTAGAAAAGCGTTTCCTTACACCGAAAAGTAGGAAAAATTGAAGTTAAATTTAAGAGAGTTAAAACCAAAATGGCGTTCTCTTCTCCTATTTTCTGCAAGACCAATTTGGCCTAGCACGAAATAGTAAATGTAGTAAATTATGAATTTGACATTTGATTGCCAGAGATATACTGTCCGAAATAAAGTTAGCTAGAAAGTTAGCGCTTCAACAAAAGGGACACACGCACACACATTTGCTTGAAAAAAAAAAAAACAAATAAGAAATTTAAAAATTGGTCCAAAGTCAAGTTTAGGGGCTCCACTTGGATCGCTTTGACATTTTTACAGTAAGTAGTCCTCTGTGAACTGATTACAGTGATATATATTTTATGGGGAGAAATGCATACTTTCCGAGATATGGGCCTTAAAAGTTCGGAGAGTATGTTGTTTTAATCAGCCGTATCATTTTATCATTTTAAAGGTTATGGTTTGTGCTATATAACTAGATGAAGAATATATTGCGTAGCCATGTATGCGCCTGTCCATGTGGCTACTTACGGTAATCATATCAAAATTATCCGACTGGGGCCCCTAAACTTGACTTGTTCCATATCTTGTTGTTCTAGTTCGCTAAAACATTGTAATCATTATGGGAGCTTCCAGCCATATACGACTTTCCGGGCTTGGAGTCGTCGGAAACTCCACTTCCATATATTCCATAATGTTTTCCTCTAAATTATATAAATTAAAAAATATACAATAAATATTAATATTATCAAAATCATGCAATAGACGCCGTTTAACTTTTTGTTATTGTTTTTTTTTGTGCATTAGGTTCCTGTAGTCTTTTTTTGTCCTTAACAAATGAAATTTTTGATTTTGACGTTTCTTCATGTTTTAACTATTTTTCGTTCCTTTACTTTTTGCGCAAATCTTGTATGTGAGAGTAATTTTTGATAGTTCGCTCTTTTACTATATTTACTATCAAAAAGTACGGGAACGAACCTATTGATAGATTTAGGTACGAATGAGAATTCAAAATACTAAATTAGAGGCAATTTGGTTGAAAATTAGTTGTACCGTTATATGGGTCTCCCCAAATAGTGGACTAAAATTGATCATTTTTGGTAAAAATATGCGAATTCAAAATACATACCAAGTTACAGACAATTTGGTTGAAAATGAGACTATTATGTTCCAATGTTATCATCACGCTATGTTAATAAAAGTCAATTTTAGTTTTTATACCCTTTACAATAGTATGGACCCTATAATGTATTAATATTATAAATATTCTTGACCACGTTAGATTGATCGCCAAAATTTTGTATAGAGTTGTATTTTGTCTCCAGGCAGGTCAACTTCGAAGATGGGAATAGTTCCCATATAAGGGTACCCCCAAATTTTCAGTATTTTGGGGTTCTTGAGCACATTTTTCAACAGGGTTGAAAAATGTGGGTTCTTATTGGGTACCAATTTTCGGTATTTTGATGATCTTGAGCTCGTTTTTTAGGGCTAGCACCTCATGCAATCAATATTGGTCCTGCTTTAGGTATTGCCTCCAGGGACATACGCATTAAACAAATTTTTTAATGAAAATATTTATATTGAAGCAGCAGCTTTCTCCTCACCCCCCGAAGTAAAATCTTGTGTACGTTGGTGGTAGCCTCATATAACTTTTCCCTCTATGTGGCTGTATTTAGAGGATTTTATACACATGTTCCATCCTACCATGCGTCGTCAATATCGGTCCACATTTTTGGGTTTTCCGATTTTAGAAGAAATAAATTATATGTATACAAAAAATATGAAATTTCGATTTTGACCTTATGTTAATTCTAAACCGAAATGTAATGCTCAAAGTACACAGATTTGAAATGTTTAACTTTTTTCCTCTCTATCTGAAATAGACTTTTTGCCAAGAAAATTGATTTTTGGCCCATTGTGTCGTTTTAAAAAGTGTTGTCATATTAAAATTTTTATTTTTCATTCAAATTTTGTTAACAATTTTTTCGCTACCTTTAGTAACAAAAAATTGAAGATTTTTCTTCAATTGGAATTTTTTAATAATTTTAAAAGTTTCAAAACCCTATTAATATGTACCAAATAAAAAAGAGTCAAGAGTCAACATATTTATGGGTTTTAGAGGCAAGGATCTTCAAAATATTAATACATATAAATGATTTAGCATTTTTGGAAAATCGTAGCGTACCGGCTGCGATAAACTAAAAATCGTAGTGTACCGGCAGTAGTACAATAAAATTGTTAGTGTACCGACTGCGGCACATTAAAAATCGTTGTGTTCCACTGGTTGGAACCAGGGATGGTCCGTGTGACAAATTTTTAGGTTTTCGACTGTCAAAGAGGTGTAAACGTCGAAAACGTCATATACCTGTATAAAATGTAATAAATGTAGTAAACGTCATTTATTTCAATATTATCAGCATATACATGTATTTTCAAGAATGTATATTGTTTTTACATATATCTGACTATTCCTTAGTAGAACTGATAAACATTTCTAAATTTTTTTGAGAAGAAAATTTTGAAATTTTATATTAATTTGAGTAAAGCATGCGTAATTTCCAAATTGATTAATGGAAATAGTTATTTTGTCAAAAACCTAATGGATTTGGGTAGGTTTCCGACGTTTCTGACGTATGTATTATACGTCGGAAATGTACGTCATTTACGTCACTGTTTCTGACAGGCCATCTCTGGTTGGAACACTAAAAATCTTGTTGTTCCACTGGTCGGATCACTAAAAATCTTAGTGTTCCATTTGCCGGAACACTAAAAATCGTAGTATTCCACTGGCAGGAACAATACAAATCGTAGCGTTCCACTTGCATGAACTGTACTTGTAGTGTACCATACACGTATGTTTTGTTTTTGAGGAAAAAATAGAGCACATAATAAAAAAATAAAACGCTGAATTGAATATAACATTATTTGCAATTACAAAAGTGAATAAGTTCATTTGAAATAGGTATTTTGGCCAGTTTTTGTGACAAAATTATACAGCTTTGGAGAAAATTGTCATTAATTTACACAACGAACATGATTTTCCCATAATATTGGAAGATCTCCATAGTATGAAATTTTTTTTTCTTAAAGGGTAAAATGCAGGAATTACAAATAAAAAAATATACCTGGAAAATTTGCTAATTGTTACACAATCAATATAATTATTTCCTGTTTATTCATGAAAAGAAGTGTTCAAATTACGTGGATATTCGAAAGAATGGTTTTATAATTTTGGGATAAATATTACAAAACCACATACAGGTACCACATAAACAAATGATTTCATATATCCATTATTTGGTAGTCTTATGCAATACAGTTTTCCGATCAACACAATCGATTATCAGCCAAAACGCTATCTAATGTTATTTTCAGTTACGAGTTGGCATCAGATTGAATTTTCACTAGACGATCTTTTTAGTTATAAAATCTTTATTATGTTAAACTGTTGATGCTAACATAATATTACCAATTTTTAATAAAATTTAAACAAATACAAATATAAAAAAGTGTGTATCTTTTACAAGTAGGCAATGTCGAATAAAATAATTCATTTTCAGATCCCAAACCATTTTTGTTAGTCTTGATTTAGATTAGGCGAGTTAACTTGCGGCAATTCTTGTCGTTCTCTTTTGAACTTGCTTCATGCGTCTATACAAGGCAATTCGGTTTCCAAAATATGTTTCTATTTGTTGTTTTTCCACATTTAAATATATATAAAACGTCAACAAATACGAAATACACAAAACGAATTGCCAGAAAATTGTCGGAACGAGCAATTTTTTTTCATTTATATTCCCCTTGCCCCTCTCTCCAACAAACAAAGACTTACCGCAAGTAAACTCGCCTAATCTAAATCATGACTTAGAAAAGTAAAGTAAAAAATAGAAAAAAATTAATAACAATTTTATTTAAATTTATGTAATAATTTGTATACCTATTATTTTTATTAAATCTTTATTGAAAAACAAAACAGCAATAAAATTTCTTCATACAAAAAATAAAAGATAATAAATACATATTTTTGTGTTCCGACAAGTGCTCCGGTACACTACCGCTAAATTTTTTTTAGTGTTTGTGTTCCTGGTACGGTACACTACGATAGTGTACCTTTTTTTGCGAAAACTTTATATCAGATTTACATTTTTTCAAATGTTGGCCTTTTGTCGGAGAGTTACTAAAAGGATTGGACCGAAAAGCCCCATCTTAAAACATTATAGAGTCTTATATAAAATATAAGATTGTGCAAAGCTTGTAAAATTAATTTTAAGTTTGACAATTTTGTGTCAGAGGTACAAGAAGAAGTGGCCCGATATTTCCCATTTTTAAAATATACCTTACTTTCTTACTTTGGACGGACTTTTGTAATTCGACTCCAAATTAGGCCCAAAGAAACAATGGTTCCCAAATCAATATTTCGATTAGGCATAAGGCTGAAGATTTAATAAAGCTCAAATAAAAATATTACGACGTTCAAACGATGGATCGCATGCCCTTTCAATACATACAAGTTTCCCACATATGGAATATTTGGTGGAAAGGTTCAGAGGGAATGGCAGTGCTATGAGAAAATTGGTATATAAATAAACTTCAAATTGCCTGAGATTGATTTGGTCCAAAGAAACTTGAGGTCTAATCGACACATTTTTGTCGTATCAACAAATATATGTACCATATAGCCATGAATTTTTCATCATAATACCGATTCCAAAAGTGGAATAGGTATTAACCTTTGACAGAACAGAATTCCATTTTTATAATTCTATTATTGTATTTTTATTTAGAATAATTTTAGAATCAAGTAAAAAGTATCCGTTGTATATGAAGTTTTTTTAATAATTAATAAACATCTCTTTTTTTCTCCTCAATTCCAGTAACTTATATGAATTATTAAAAAACTGTGTCAATTTTCAATCATACGAAAGTCTGCCAAGCGAAGATTACAACGACGTCGTATGCGAACTACCCGAATACCCCAGCACTATTTACTTGGATAATTCCCAGAAAATGATATCGAGCAATAATGTTTATTCCGTTAGCGGTAACATTTCCAATGGCAGTTATAGCAGTGAAGATTCCCTGGGCGACAGCAATATCCTTGAAGAAAATGGACGAATATCATTGGCCTATGAAAATCTACGCACCATTCCCCGACGTATTGCTGAGAAATTTGCAATGCAAACAAAATTTTTAGATTTAAGCTATAATAATTTTCAGAATTTATCATTTTTGACATTTTTCGAAGATTTACATACGTTGATATTGGATCGCAATACTAATTTGGAAGTGAATTCACTGTCGATTATGGGAAATCCAGGCACAAAGGAGCCTTTCAATTATTGCTCCCTGAATGTCTACACTATGGATCCCCTGATATTACCCGCCGGTATGATAACCGATTATCGGGAATACATACTACAAATGTTGCCAAATCTGGAATATCTTGATGGTATACCAAGAGCAAGTCTGACATCAGCAACAAATCACAGCATTACAAATGGTGGCCATGTGAATTCATCATCCTCGCCAGCAAGTTCAAGAGGCAATGGTTCATCGTCCCACAGTCGAGATAATCGTAAAATTTCACCTTCATTGAGTTTCAAGGATCTCTTCAGAATAAATCGTCGCAAGAAATCATACCCAAGTTCTTCAACCAACTGAACTTGAAGTTCAGAGGAAATTTTTTCTCATAGATTAATAAAACCATAGACACACATCCATATAAATGAAGAACTGCGCTGCTGCTGCTGGTTATCATGTTGTGCATGATGGCCTGCAGCGAAGTATACGAGAATCTAGTTTGGTACCTAGTAACTACACTGCAAGTTACACAAGAAAAGTTGATTTATGTCGTCTTCATCGTATGTTTTTTTAATTTTATTTCTATTCTGTTTTTTTTTTTAACACTTCACCCATCCTTATCATTAGTAATTTTTCCATTATGCCTGCTAGCCATTTTAATATGATTATTTTTATTATTTTTTAAATAAACTGTCATCATTATTATTACTATTATTGTTTAGCTTTAGTCTCATTGTTATTGTAAATACTGTGATTGTTGCTTAAAATAATGGTTGATAATAAACTATTGGTTCTTCAAATACAAAATAATTATACGAAAAATCATAAAATAAATAACAATACCAATAATAAAATAAGTTCGAAATATTTGAAATATAATTTGCAACTGAACAAATATACAATATATTAATATAAAAAATTTTAATCTATTGCTTTGTTTATTTATATGCCTAATTTGGGTTAAATAAGAGGATCAAATATACACAAAATTCGGTCATTTACTTTATGTAATTACTAGTCACGTTTTCGTTCTATAACTCTGAGCTGAATTAAGTCGTAAAATTAAATATTTGTGTGTGATATAAATGCATTGCTAAAGGTTTACTCTAAGCTATTATTTATTCACAATTTATATCTTATTAAAATCAGGCGAGGACAACTCTGGGTTTACGAACTGGAAAGTATCTGAGAACTGCTCCTTCTCGGACCATAGAATCATACTTTTTCAGATTCCTACCACCAGAGGAAAACAGAAACCATACAAAGTCTACGTATCAAGAGAATAAGGAGACCTCCGGTTACGCATTGTCTGAGTTCTTTAGCATCGAAGGAGCCTTCAACAATGTGAAGCTGGAAGCTATCCATTCTGTTTTCCATAATTCAGGTATCCCCTCCCAACTAACGGATTGGATTGAATGCTGGAAAGCATTCTATCCAAAGGTTGATGTAGTCTTGCTAGCAGGTTGGAAATTTCTGCCGACTATTTCGGATATCATGC